TCGTCATGGACTATAAATGAATCTCCCTTTCATTTTTATTCTTAGACTCCAATAAATTTGTTACTTTTATATTCAGAAACCTAATGGAATCAGAGTGGGTGAGGACTAAAAACATAGGGAATAATAATCACTAATCCTCACTATTTGTCCTTGCTTGTGTTGCAAATATTGTATGTTGGCTGGTGTTAGGCATGGTAAAATAAATAAAAATGATATTAATACAAAACAATATCCAAGTCTTAGAGGCAATCTATAGATTTATAGATAAGATAAACTTCTGTCAAAAACCAAAGTAGCAATATTCAGCAGTGAGATTTTATTTTTTGACAATAACTCTTATTCTTCCCAATTCTACTTATAAATATTAAGAATCAAAAAGTCAGTGACTTCCACAAAGCTGGAAAGGGCCAACCACAAAATTAAAACTGGGTTTGTACCAGATTTCAAAGCTCATTCTTTTTCCATTACTACCTAACATTTGTATATCCATTTTTCAGCTTTCAAAGAGTTTTCAGGTGAGTTATCTAGTTTGAACATTATATTACATCTGTGAGGAGTCTGATCAGGAAAAAAATAACACATTTTACAGAAAGAAAAACATAGACTGAAATAGACTTACTCAAAGTCACAAAGTAACAGTGAATAGCTTAATGCTTCTCTTTAAACATAATCACTAACCCCATATGCAGTGTTCTTACTGCTATATCACAATAAATTGTGAAAAAGGTGGAATGCCAAGGTGATATCTTTGATGTTAAACTGCAGGCATTTAAGTAATACTGAGCCAGGAATGATGATACACAAAATAATGGAATGTTAATCTGGCAATAGTGCATGTTATTGAAAATTAGGAATCAATATTAAAGAAGCCATAAAGAAAATATGACATTGTATTAGTTTGTTCTCATGATCCTAATAAAGACATACCTCAGACTTGGTAATTTATAAAGGAAAGAGGTTTAATGGACTTACAGTTCCACATGGCCAGGGAGGCCTCACAATCATGGCAGAAGACAAAGGAAAAAAAAAGGCCAAAAGGACATTCTGGTAGGCAGGAGAGAGCATGTGCAGGAAAACACTCCTCTTTATAAAACTATGAAATCTCTTGAGATTTGTTCACTATCACAAGAACAACACAGGAAAGAGCTGCCCTCAGGATTCAATTGCCTTGCACTGGGTCCCTTCCACAACACGTGGAAATTATGGGAGCTACAGTTCAAGATGAGATTTGGGTGGGTACACAGGCAAACCATATCAGACATCAGAAAGCAGTGTTTAGAGAAAATACTCAGACCATGCTGAGCGTCCTATGTACATTATTCTACTAAACTCAGTTGGTTTTATTTAAGTCTGGCAACCACAAGAAGTAATAATTTTACTATATGATTTGCATACAAAGAAGTTTAGGGTCTTGTTCAAAGTCTTATAACGAATGAAGAGTAGAACTAGAATTTCAACTCTGGTCTCTGAGTTCAATCAACTTTGCTACTAAGTACACCAATCACTTTAAAGCTTTTATGCTTTTCTCCAGGTCACTGGGTCCCTTAACGTTTGCTTATAGTGTATCACATGTTATATCTTTTCTGTGTCTTTCCATAACATGTCTTTTATATCTGGCTCTTATCCTCCATTTCTCTTTACTTAGAATATGGATTCAGAATCAATATGCTTATGTCATTACATTCTATTTGCTGTTCCTTCATGGGCATAACGACGATGATAACATCTACCCCATAGGGTGGTATAAAGATTCAATGGACTGATTTATAGATAGTTCTTAAAGCATAATTTGCCTTCCATATAATCAGCTCCATTAACAAGGAGGAGGATGAAACTGATCGTTTTCCTTGAGACATTTAGTAAGCACCTGTAATGATTTTAATCCCGAGGCCAGTGATTCTATTTTCAGACTAGCAGAATCTGATTTGGCCTCTAGTCAAATGAGTTGGAAAGATACAAAACTAATACCCTTGGTATAAAAGCATAAGATGTTTACTCCAGAGAAGAAGCAAATGAATTTGAAAGACCTTTTCAATATCACTTTAGTGTCAAAGGCAGTTCATGTATAAGGTTCTAAGTGGACAAGCTCAGGGATTTGTATTCAGAGTACAATATGGGTACCTAAGACATACTGTTCATTAGACTTGAGGTAATGAATTCAAAATTTCAAGTAATTCTAATTGAAAGTATATTCTTTTCAGAAAGGCATTGCAAATGCATTGTTTTACTTTTGAAAACTACGATTTCTATTATATTGATTATTTTCCCTTGTCATTTGCAGCTAGAAAAGTTGGCTTCAGGCAGAAATGACAAGGCTGTTCCAGTTAACACAGCAATTTCTAGAGTAACCAATTTATTGTCTTTTTCATGTGACAGTTTTGTAAATCCTCATATGGTCTCTGGGAGAATGATTGCTCTTGTGAAAGGGAAAAATGTGCATATATTATTATTGCTTATCCATTTTCATTATGAATAATAGAATGCTCAAAAATAAGTCTGTTTATTACACAGCATAACTTATTTAGAGAGCTGTATTGTCATAAAAATCCTATACTTTCTTGTGCCCAGTATCCGATGATCTCAAAAGTCATCATCTTATACTAACATCATGGAAGCTGGAATTTTTTTGATAGCAAGAAGCATTTGTCTTTGATAATTCTTATGATGATATTAAAATGTTATACTAAAGTTCTCCTTTCTACCTTCATTATTTGATTGCATATGAAATTATTGTATTTATTTCTTTTATTCTTATTTCCTGCTGAACATAGTTTAGTCCACTGATATTTCAAAATAATTACAACTATACCTGAAAATCCCACTGACAGGAAAGAAAAAAGAGAATACTTGGTTCCAGTGATATTTGAAACACAATATCTAAACACATTAACAAAAAAATCTCAGCGTGTCTACTGTTGAAACTTCTCTGGTGTGTGTGTGTGTGTGTGTGTTTTGTGTGTGTGTTTTGTGTGAGGACTGGGGAGGCTAAAGGTGTGCTGTCTTGGCTAGGATTAGAATAAGCCCTCACCTTGAATTTCTGTCTTATTTTTGTCTTTCTTTAAAAAGTTCTTTGCCACTACAGTAAATTGTTCAGTTTTCTGAATTACTGTGCCTTCAGTCCTCCCAATGATTGAGAGGCATAGGCATAGCAGTAAAGCAAAATATAAATACATTTAAGTCACAAGCGCCTTATTTTTAGCACTCGATTCTTGCATGTATAGATTCTTTCTTCCAAATTTATCTGAAGACTACATAAATTATTTCTTAGCTGAAAAAACAATTTAAGACATCAAATTAGAATTTGCTTCAAAGTAATACATTATTTTTTCCTATTTTGGATTTCTGGTCCCAAAGTACAAAAGGAAGAACATATTTTGGAGTATAGTTACTATATTTTTCTCTCTCTTTATTTGGCTAGGGACTATAGATAATTAGAGTCTAGCATCCTCAACCAAGAAATAAAGCAGAAGAGATAGGATATGATACAGAAACTAAGATTTACTCAGGTATTAAACTTTGTTGCATATGACGTACCAGTTAAAACACACAAAAATTTACTCTTCTTCTTTTGAGTTTAAAGACTCAAAACCATTTCGGTCAGGCACTGGGAATGAGCTGCTAGAGCTATGTCCTAACTTTAGCAATAGCTAGTTGCCAGCCCCAGTTTTTGGAGCTTCATTCCTAGTCTTGATTGTGTTGAGTGACAAATTTGCAGCCTCTCTGGATGACTTCATAGTTGGAGCAATGTCTTTTTGCACTGACATTGCTTTGGTATTTAGTAAACAGGGAGATACTCTTAAAATATTGCCAATGATTCTAAAGGAGTACATCCTAGAATTAAAATACGGGTTTAATACAAACATTTCTTATTACTGCCTATTTATGTGCAATATTGGGGCAACCATACCATTTCCCTATTTCTAAAACTTTTCATTCGTTTGTATATAATTAAACAAACTTATTTATGTAATTTATCCATGTATTTATCAATGTTACTGAGTAAAAAAAAAAATCAGAATAGGAAGTGAACCATGCTCATTACATTTTTCAAAATGTAGTCATACAAGTATTAGAACAGAATTACAAGCAGAGTACTAATCTAATAAAATTATCTATTCATACTCTCGATCTTATGAAAAGTATTAGAATAATAATGTCAGTTTCTTGTGCCTTTAAGCCAGATTATGAGACATAAATATATGACAGTATTGTTTTACAACCTGCTGTAATATTTTCTCATTTTTTGCCATGTTTACTCAAAATTTTTCTGAGCTTCTTATGAACTTTGTTTCAGGACTGGGGGAAGTTTTATAAATTGATTCTAGAAAAATGCTTATGAAATTGACCACATTTTAATATAGATACTTGCTATACCTTCTTGCACAAACTATCCCTGTAGGAAAAAGGTTACTTCTCATTTCACTGACATGAGGTTTGGACATGTGAATTTCTTTAGCTGGTTAATGTGTGCAGAATATATGACATGTTGGATATATAAGCAAATATTTTCAGAGCATCCTCTAGATCCTCCATTATTCCTTTCTGTCTCCTACCAAAATACCTTTAGCAGAAGCTTCTCCTTCCAATGGAGTGTTGAAATGATGAGGATGTGAAGCAGAGCTGGAAATGGGCATGAATGTGAGTGACACAGAAACCTTCCTTGTTTAAGCCATTGAGATGATGGAATGATTCATTACTATAGCATGCCTGTAGTAACCTGGCTGATACAAGTTAGCTAATAAAACAAAGATTTAAGTAGCTCTGAATTTCAAGTTTAATAATATAAGGTGTTGTTAGAACTATAACAAAATGAAGATGCTTTGTGCTATCAAAATTTCAGGATACTCCTTTATAGTCTTTTATTACTTACTTCAGATTATTTCACTAAAACATCTTGGCACATAAATTACATAAATATATTAAGATAGAAAGCAATAATTTCACTTTTATCTCCCAATAGATGAGAGCAAGTGAGAATTAATGTATTTTCATTTTTCAGTGGTACAATTAGCCATCTGTTGATTGGCTTATTAATACTCCCATTGAATCCATGGGTTTTTGTCAGGTTTCCTTTGGCAACAATTAAGAAGCACCAATGTGTAGATTCTCCTTCTTCCTGTAATACAAATTTAATTTATTCTCTATCATTAAAAATTGTATTATAGAGGAACATATTAAAATATTCAACAGAGGGTAATTAGCTGTCTATTTTGTATATGCAGTAATAATGCTTAAAACTATTTCTAAATTTAGTAAGTAAACTCAGGCTAAAGCAACACAAACTGGATGTCTGAAGTCAACAATTAATTCAGACAAACCAAATGACCGATGTTCCCTTGTAGACTTTTGAGTTTTCTCCTGATTCTCTTATTGCTCAGTTTTATAATGAATAACAGAAGCAAAATTACAGAATTTTCTTTTGCTGAGATATAAATTTCCCCAGTGACTCTCAAGGAAAGGCAGAGCAATCAGCAATGCATCAGATAATCTGATAGCAAATATTGTGCTTTCAATAAAACAGAATTCAAATTAGCGAATTTATTGTGTTATTTAAAAAGTCAGGGAAATTAAGTTTTCAAAACTAAAAGACTCCAAAAAAAAACTTCTCCAGAAAAGTCACCTCACTATTAATCATTCTCTAACTAGATGTTTAAAAAGGGTAGTTCTTGGGGTAAAAGACAATTTAACCCTGATGTCAGCTGATCTTTTGATTCTCCTACTTTAATGGTTAATTAATCCTGTGTTATTTCTGAAGCACTGATGTAATTTGAGTTGAAACTTTATAGGCTGGGATCAGACTAGATAGTGTAAAATGTCTATATATATATTTGGTATAATCTTTGCAGCCTTTGAATTCTAGTATCTTTAATTAACCTTCATGTCTTGTACAGATAGGTAATATTTTCTGCTTCTAAACAATCGACAAAGAACAAGTTTCTAAGGAAGAAGAAAAGAAAGTTGAAGAAAACCTGACATTTTGCAAAACACGGATAGAGCATAGAGAAAAAAAAGAAAAAAAAAATTTAGAACAGACCTGAAAACCCATTAAGTGTTCTGTGTCCTAGGGGATACCCATTGCTAGCCTGCTCAGCAGAAGTTTTCTCATTATAATTTTTTGTATATGAGTAGTTTTCTTTAATACTAAAATAGGTCTTTGTTTTTGTGTGACTCTCATTAAGCTATTAAAAGAAAACACTTATTCGTTTTTCTTTATCATTACCTTCCTTATTTACAAAAGTCTGGATTTAAGTTTTTTGTTGCTTGTTTATTTTTGATTTATATTAATTTTCCTTTATCAAGAAATCAACATAAGTCCCCATGGTTTCTTATTAGATTATATCTAAAGAAATGGTATTTGTTTTTAGGTGGGAAGTTTTGGTAAAATTGTTTTCTTTGCAAAACCAGATTAGGTAAAAAGAGGTTCTGAAATTTTACATTTCATGACAGTTTTCCTAAATAATCTGGAGAAAATGATTCCTTTCAATTCATTAATAAGAAATAGTCTCACTTTAAGAAATACAAAAGATTTTAAATCTAGACAAAAACAGATTTTTTTGTAAAACTTCAAGTTAATATAAAAGCAATCCTTTCAAGAAAGGAAATATTTTTCATAAATCATTGTGAGAGAAAAAAATTTACACATTTAAACCAGGCATGTGTATTACTCATCAAACAAAATAATGTGACTTCACTATATTTATACATTGCTGAAATACATTTAAATATTAAAATATTTTCTTTGAACAAATACAACTAATATTTTTTAAATAACCAAATGCATCTATAAAATCTGGTTTAAAAAGTAACAACAAATGAAAATTAGATGTCAAGATATTTTATAAGAAAAATACAGCATCCAAAAGCTTGGCTCTTCCTAATGTATTGTACAGAAAAAAATTATATATAATTTTTATATGGTGCTCATATTTGAATATGTTACCATGTGGTCTGCAAAATACGACAAGCTCAAATTCATTACCTTCTGATAGTACCTGCCAGCAAGGTTGCTACAAAGAATTTTGTATAAGAAAGTAAAAAGACAGGCAGGAATATTGTTTGCTGAAACTAATTGAACAATAGGAAGTGATTGGATTAGATGTATTCAATGTAATTGTTGGAGAATTAAGCATAAGAGAAGATCCTTAGCACAAGTTGGTCAGTTGGTCTAAAAACCACCCACTAAGATCAATTAGTAACACTTCCAAAAAATATGAAATAATTTCTCCTTGTAATATTGTGTTAGTCTGTTAGAATACTGCTATGAAAAAATACCCAAATTGGACAAGTTATAAAGAAAAAATGTTTAACTGACTTACACTCCTGCTTGGCTGGGAAGGCCTCAGAAAACACAATCATGGCAGAAGGGGAAGCAAACATGTTCTTCTTCACCTGGCAGCAGGAGAGAGAAGTGCTAAGCAATGGGGGAAAAGCCCCTTATAAAACCATCAGATTGTGTGAGAACTCACTATCGGAACAGCATGACAGTAACCTCCCCATGACTCAATTACCTCCCACCAGGTCCCTCCCATGGCATGTGGGGTTTATGGGAACTATAATTCAAAATACTATTTGGGTTGTGACACAGCCAAATCATATCAAATATTTTCCCTCATTAAGTGTATATCTGGTAGTATGATAATCACTCAAATTTCCTAAAAGTTCAGCAGTTGGTGATAACATCGTTAGTAGCATGAGTGGGTTGGTTGTGTTTATAGGAATCCATTACTTAATTAGCACTTCTTAATAAAGGTGAATGATTTATATCCTTTTGCTTTCATCACTTCCTTTCTATATTCCTTCAGTAAAAGACATTCCTTATAAAAACAGAGCAAAGAGATGAAGCTGAAAAAGCCTCCAAGAATCATATACCATGAGCACTTCCTAGTTTGTTTATAAATTAATAATCTTAGGTAAAACAGCAAAAGTCACATACCTAAACCACTCCCCAAGTAAACACATTCACCTTCCCAGATTCTAATCTGATCATTCATTTATTCAACAAATATTTCTTCAGTGCCTTATTTATCCGGAAGACCAGGGTGAAAAAGACATAGAGACTGTCCTTCACACATCTTAGAGTGTGGAGACACACAAATCTCTGAGTTATGGAGGAGTTTTGTGTATGCCAGCAAATGAAAAAATGGCAATGTGGCTATCTACATTTCCTATTGCTGCTTTAACTGTTTACAATGAATTTAGGGGTTTAAGATGACACAAGTTTATTATTTTAAATATCTGGAGGTCATAAGTCCAAAATCTGTTTCACTGAGCTAAAATCAAGGTGTCGATAAGCCTGCATTCCTTCTGAAAGCTCTAGGGGAGAGTCCACCTCTGCATTTTCCAGCTCCTAGGAACCACCTGTAATCCTGGCTCAACGCAAACTTACTTCATCTTCAAAGTCAGCAGAAATTGAACCTTCTCTCTGATCTCTGCTTCCATCTTTACATCTCTCTCTCTGACTCTAATCCTCCTCCATCTCTCTTATAAGACTTCCTTTTTTTTTTAGGCCCAGCTGGATAATCCAGAATAATTTTCTATCTCAAGATCCTTAAATTAATCACACTGCAAAGTCCCTTTCACATGTAAGGTAATACATTCACAGGTCCCTGGGATTTGGATATGGACACCTTTGGGGATCATTACTCAGACTATTGTAATGACTACTGATCTGTGATTGAAGAGTGAACAGTGGCACAGGCGGAGCTTCATGAGTGAGGCAGATATCAGTTTTAGGTTGTTCAGGCTCTTGGATTAAGAATTGGATTTTTTACTAATGCAATGAAGACTTCTGGAAGTGTTTGTTTGTTTGTTAGGTTTAAATTTAAGGAAGAGATTTACATGGCTTAATTTTTGATATAATTTATTGGTTTTTGAACAATAAATTGGAGTGAAGCAAGAGTGAAAATAAAGGCTTATTTGTTTTCTATATTTTAATATATACATTGGGGAATGAAATTGTTTGGAAAATGAAATAGGCAACAATTAAGCTGGTGTTTGGGAGATAAATCATTTTACTGAGTATACTGTAAAAAGGAGCATTTTAGCCTCTATACTAGAAAAGTTATTAACCGTGAAGTTTGGGAAATTAGGAAATAGTATACATTAGATTTTTCATGAGTTTAGAGTTCATGATAAACTCTGAAAATTCATAGGTTTCTGTAGACAGCTAATTGAAAGAAATAGTTCCAGCATCATATACTAATACAAATTACTCTAAGACACAATAGTCACAGCAGTAGTTCTCTGCCGTAATTTGAATTACCTCTTGAATTTGAATATAATTGTCTCAACTTCTGTACTCAGTTAAAGTCTCATGAAATTTCAAAACGCCCTTCTAACCCTTCTGCAGTTGGTTTTATGATGAAATATAATCATCACATAAATTACAGGTTGACAATCCTAAATATCTAGGTCATACATTTTCTTCATGTGAAAAACACTTCGCCTAAAATTCTGGGATACAGTCAATTCCTGAGATGATTATCAATGGTTTCCAATGTCCTAAATTCAGCTACTGAGAGAGAGTCCCACTAGGTAGTAGCAATATTTACTGAAAGATCCTCTGCTACACACTTAGTGTGATTCCTGTCATTTCAAAGAGCACTGCTCTCCACAGCTATAATGATTCTCTCACCTTGTAGTCTGCTGCCAGGTGATTTCTCACAGGAGAAATTATGTTCACTTCTAGGGCATGGGTTCAGCTCTGATCTATGTTGACTAATTTGAACCATCTGAAGGCTGATTGTTGACCTCTGCCTGAAAGAAAATTAAAACTCAGTGGTTTTAAAACAGTTTTACACAACGGAAACTGAGGAAACTGAAAAAATAAAAAAGGCAAGGCATATTCTACCATAAAACTGTGGATGGTATTACGAATGCCACACATCTGCCCTCTAAAAATTCTTACCAGATTCTTATGACTGCAGTGTCTATTTAAACTTCCTAAGGGGCACAGCAATGCAAGTTCCTTTGCCTATCTTGAGGTACCCGAAGCAGCATCCATGTAGCTACTTAATGCATATGATATAGTTAGATTGGGTATTCAGTCCTAGATGAATGTTCATCCACATTAAAAATCTATGTTAGGAAATAAACACATGCTTAAAAATAATGCTTAGATATAATGATGCTTCAAAAGCAATTATAATGTTGGAAGTGTGCTGTGCCTTTCTGGCCAATATCACCTTTTGTTTGCATTCCAGGCTACCCTCACTGTATTGAATACTTAGACAGGAAAAAGGCTGAGCATGAGCAGAAGCATTTTCAGGTATGTCAGGACAATTTTCCATTGGTTGGCTTTTAAGAAAATCAAAGCAATTAATAAGGAGGCCCACTGGAATAGTTTTTTGACACTGAAAAATTCATAAATGTTAAGCCCCACAATGTAATTTCTTTTTTCTACCTCTCAACAAAATTTAAGGATCGCTTATAGAAAGAGAGTGCTTCAGAATACGCAGCTTCTCTGGGTAATCAGTCTTTACCTAGTGATTAAATAGTCTGGCTCCAAACCACCCAGCTCATTGTTTTTTTACCCACAGTGTGAAAGAAAAATCATCTTTGTGCCAACCCCACATCATAAAAAACTCTAACAATGTGTTGAGTGTGACTTAAGAGCCCATAATGTATTTTTCATGAAGGTAAGGAAAATCCATTAAGGAGATTAATTTGTGTTTGGAGAGCCTACCCCTCCACAGCCAAAAATATTTGTTCTGTTAACTGCGGTTTGCTGATACACTATGATAGTGCTGCAGCCTAGTAATGGCATTGCTATTTATACCAATATATGTCCTGCAAATGGATTGTTTATTAATTATTAAGTAGCTATTTCTTGAAGGAAAATGTAGCTGCTAAAACTTTCTTTTTTTCCTTTAGCTAATTATTATAGTTAATGGTTTTTAAAAGGCTAATTGAGGCCCAGTGATTTCTTCAGGAACATTTATGTTGTGGAAACCTGCTCTTTCATACCCAGGTAACGTTCATTTGCTGCTATTTAGAAAGAACTTTCTAGGAAAAAAATATATACACTATCTATAATACACTTTAATTGGTTACCAACATTGTGCATTTAGCCATTTAATAACCTTGAAGAAAGGAAATTAAATGACTTCAGTTAAATTCTATAGTTAAACTTTTTGAGACCTTTTATGTTATAAATAACCTGAATCACACAAATGCATTGTCGTGAGATGTAATCCGAGGAAGGAAGAAGATTGCACAGTTTTATTCTTAAACCACCTCCCAGGTCAATGATTCAAATCTTCAGTACTTCTCAGCTTTGCTCATGGCTATTACCTAAAGCACTTAAAGAACACAGATGCTTAGGTTCTATTCCCATAGTTTCTGATCTCACTGGTCTGAAATAGAGCCTGATGAATAAGGTTTCAAGGTTTTCCAGGTAATTCCAATATTCAGCCAAAGTTGAGAACCATTACACTAGAAAAAGAATAAAAAAGTCTGTGGAATTTATTTTCTAGTAATGGACAGAGAGAATAAAAAAAAAAAAAAAAAAGCAAATTTAGTTGTTTCTTTTTTCAACGATTTCCATCAACCAGCCTGGTTTCATAATTTTCTCCTTAGGACTCTTCTAACTGTGGATTCTTACAGATAAATATTGTTGTTAATCAGGAATAGGAAGCATATGAGATATGAGACTCTTAATTTTGTAGCTGCTTTAGACCCCAGAACTCTGAGAAGGAATAAGGACTATTACAAAGTTTTGTCCAAGATGTTTACTGTGCACACACCTGGTAATGAAATCCAACCTAAGCTCCCCTCTTTGGGTTATATCATGATGCAGGGTATTTTCTCCCACAGAAGCGTGACCTTTATCTAATTCATGCCAAGGTGGCACAGAAAATAGTGACAGACCTGCATGAAAGGGAAGACTCATGTTGTAGATTCAATTATTAGGTTAGCCAAAAGAAGTGTACTTTCATCAACTTATATGCAAGCATATCTCAGAGATATTGTAGGTTCAGTTCCAGAACACCACAATGAAACAAGTAACAGAAACTTTTTGACTCCCAGTGCATATAAAAGTTATGCGTACACTATATTGTAGTCTAATGTGCAAAAGCATTATGTCTAAGAAAAATCAATTTGCAAATCTCGATTTAAAAATACTTTATTGCTGGCCTGCTGGCCAGGTGTGGTGGCTCATGCCTGTAATCCCAGCACTTTGGGAGGCTGGGGTGGGTGGATCATAATGTCAGGAGATCGAGACAATCCTGACTAACATGGTGAAATCCCATCTCTACTAAAAACACAAAAATAAATTACCTGGGCATGGTGACACATGCCTGTAGTCTCAGCTACCCAGGAGGCTGAAGCAGGAGAATTCCTTGAACCCAGAAGGTGGAGATTGCAGTGAGCCAAGATCGCACCTCTGTACTACAGCCTGGGTGACAGTGTGAGACTATGTCTCAAAAAAAAAAAAAAAACAGCTTTATTGCTGTAAAATGCTTATGATCATCTGAGCCTTCAATAAATCATAATCTTTATGCCAGTGAAGGATCTTGCCTCCATGTGGATGGTTACTGACCAATCAATCAGGGTGATGACTGCTAAAGTTGGAGTGGCTGTGAAAATTTTTAAAAATAAGATAAAAATGAAGTTTGCCACATCAATTGACTCTTCTTTTCAGGAAAGACTTTTCTGTAGCATTTGATGCTGTTTGATAGATAGCATTTTATGCACAGTGGAAATTCTTTGAAAACTGGAATCAATCCTCTCAAGCCCTGCTGCTTCTTATTAACTAAATTGATATAGTATTCTACATCCTTTGTCAGCATTTCAAAAATGTTCACAGCATCTTCACCAGGAGTAGATTTTATTTCAATAAACCAACTTTTTTGCTCATCCATAAGAAGCAATTCTTTATCTGTTCAAGGTTTATAAAGAAATTACAGGAATCCAACATCAGGAATAAGCAGGTTCCACTTCTAAATCTAGTTCTCTTGCTATTTCCACCACATCTGCAGTTACTTCCTCCAGTGAAGTCTTGAGCTCCTTAAAATAATCCATGAAGGCTGGAATAGATGTCTTCCAAACTCCTTTAATGTTGATATTTTGCCCTGCCCTCATGAATCATGAATGTTTTTTATAGAATCTAGAAGTGTTAATCCTTTCCAGAGGTTTTTAATTTACTTTGCCCACATTCATCAAAGTATCACTATCTATGGAAGTTCGAGTCTTACAAAATGCTCTTCTTAAATAAAAAAGCTTGACTGTGAGAATTACTCATTGATCCATGGGCTGCAGAATGGATGTTGTGTTACTAGGCATGGAAACAATATTAGTCTTTTTGTACAACTTTTTTAGACCTCTTGAGTATCTAGGCACATTGCCAATAATAATATTTTGAAAGGAATCTTTTTTATCTGAGCAGTCGGTCTCAACAGTGGGCTTAAAATATTCAGTAAACCACACTATAAATGATTGTTCTCTCATACAGTCTTTGTTGTTCAATTTATAGAGCACAGGCACAGTAAAGTTGGCATAATTCTTGAAGGCATTAGGATTTTTGAAATGATAAATGATCATTGGCTTCAACTTCAAGTCACCAGCTGCATTAGTCCCTAATAAGCAAGTCAGCCTGTCCTTTGAAACACTGAACCAAGGCATTGATTTCTCCTTTCTAGCTACAGAAGTCCTAGATGGCTGCCCCTTCCGAGTCTGTTTTATCAATGTTGAAAATCTGTTGTTCAGTGTAGCCACATTTAACAATTACCTTATCTAGATTCTAAATAACTTGTAGAATCTACAGCTTCTATAACAGCACTTTCTTCTTCACCTTGCTCTTTTATGTCATTAAGGTGGCTTTTTCTTAACTCTCATGAACCAACCTCTACTAGCTTCAAACTTTTAACATTTCTTACCTCTCTCAGTCTTCACAGAACTGAAGAAAATTGGGGCCTTGCTCTGGATTTGGCTTTGATTTAAGAGAATCTTGTGCCCAATTTGGTCTTTTATCCAAATCATTAAAATTTTCTCCATCAGCAATAAGGCTGTGCTGTTTTCTTATCACTTGTGTATTCACTGGAGTATCACTTTTAATTTTCTTTGCGATTGTTACCTTTGTATTCAGAACTTGGCTAACTGGCACAAGTGGTCCAGTTTTCAGCCTATCATGGCTTTTGACATGTCTTCCATACTCAACTTAATCTTTTCTGACTTTTTATGTAAGGAGAGATATGTGCTTTTCCTTTCAATTGAACACTTAAAGGTAATTACAGGGTTATTAATTGGCCTAATTTCAATAGTGCTGTCTCTCGGGGAATAGGAAGGCTTGCGAAAGGAGAGAGACGGGGAATGGTCAGTTCAGGGTAGTCAGAACACCCACAGCATTCATCAATTAAGTTCATCATCTTATTTGCGTGTGGTTCACGGTGCCCCAAAACAGTTACCATATTAACATCAAAGTCCACTGGTCACAGATCACCATGGCAGACATAATAATAAGAGTTTGAGATATTGTGAGTGTCTTAGTCCTTTTTTAAACTGCTATAAAGAACTGAGACTGGGTAATTTATGAAGAAAAGAGGTTTAATTGACTCACAGTTCTGCAGAACAGGAAACATGACTGGAAGGCCTCAGGAAACTTACAATTATGAGAGAAGGCAAAGGGGAAGCAAGCACTTCTTATCATAGCAAGACAGAGAGCAAGTGAGCAGGGAAGTGCCACATTTTTAAACCATCAGATCTCCTGAGAACTCACTATCACAAGAACAGCATGGAAAATCTGCCCTCATGATCC